AGGGTCTGCAGTGTTTTTGTTGCCCACATGTGTCATCTGGGTGAAGACTCACCAACGGCAGGGCAGGGACAGGCGGCAGCAGAGAGTGTGACAATCACTACACGAGGCTGTCTCTTGGTTCACTGGGAAATGAGACACCAAGCAGAACCCTAGCCCTGTACTCCAGGTTCTTCTCAGCTACAGCTGAGAGGATGCAGGTAAACTGAGGCACTGGAACTTGGAAAGGCCTGAGCCCTCTTCAGAGCGTACACAACCACAGTTAGACAATGTGATCGCAGCTGAAGGCCGACCCCTCTACCTGCACCTCTGGGCTCAATTTTACACAACAAACAACATGACTGTCACGTAAAGAAGGAGGGCAAGCCAGGCACCGCCAGGAGGTCCGAGAAAAGTTCTTTTGGAAAACCTGAATGATCAATTGGAGGAATAAATGCATCCTTCAAAGAATGAGGCTCGGATGGAGGGCATTTGTCGAAGGCAGCTTGCGTGCAGCCCATGGGAGGTCTGGAAGACTTAGTCCCTGCGTGGCCTCTGGTTTAAGTGAGGCAGGTGAGCGTGCCACAGAGGTCTGCCCATGGAAGAGCTCTGTGGGTGTGATGTCCCGGCTGCCTCTGCAGAGGCTTCCGTCCTCTGATCTCCAGGTACTCTGCGGGGAAGGAATCACCGAGGCCAGGACTGGGAAGGAAAATGTCCCAGAGAATGCTGGGCTCTGAAGGGCTGAAGGAGACGGTGCGTTCTTCTAACCGTGGCCAGCTAAGGCAGAGAGTTGGTTTTCAGACGCGATGCTCTCCTCCCAAGTCTCTGATTTTAAAGTGATTTGTCTTAATTTAGAAAATAAATATAGGACAGCAGCATTTTGAAGTGGGGTGCTTATTTGTTTTGGAGGGTTGTGGCCAAATCAAACAAATAGCATCTTCTTTTAACTCTCTATCCCCAAGACAGCTGTGGTGCCCCACCACTGTGCCAAGCCCAGAGTGTAAAGCCATGCAGGCCCAGCACCAGGCCCTCCGGGCCTCCTCTGGAACCTGGGCCCTCGGGAACATGGTCACCTCTGGGCCTGAGAGCAGCGGCCAAGAAGCCCATTTCCCTCAGGCTGCAAGATGAGAAGCAAGGCCCAGGTGGCCTGCTGAGACGCCTTGATTTCACCGTCCCTGGCAAGCTGCTGGGTCTCTGAGACTTTCTGCTCCACAGCCTGTGAAATTCTGGAGTAGTAAGTCAGCAGGAGAGTGGCCCCGGAGCCCCTTGGAGGGCATCACCCTTAACACGATGAGCTTAAAGCAGAGATGGTGAACCCCTCAGAGCTTTCAGTAACCCCAACTGCCCAGGGTGGCATGCACGTCCTAGGTTAACCTCTACTGGCTCCGAGCGCTCCTGGCACTTAGGATGGCGTGATTCTGAAAGCTCACAGCCACAGGTCTTTTCTCCAGTCTCACCCTTCCATCCACAATCTGTCCAGCAGGGTGCACAGATGCTCCCTTTATCCCTAAATTCTTTCCAAATAGACTCAAGAGCAGCTCAGAACCCCATGACTAAGAGCAAGGTAACCCGAGCTATGGCAGTGAAAGAGCTGCCCACACTGACCAAATAAGGAAGAATTCTGCTTACACTTGTAAGGGGAATAGACTGAATCTCACTACCACGACACTAGTCCCATCCCACTCCTCAGGCAGACTCTCCTGCCCATGCGGCCTCAGGGCACTGGAATCTCAGGGAACAATGTAGGACCTTGACAGGGCCTGGGAGTCTCGGAGTTCTTCCACGCACCCCTCAGGCTGTAGGTGCACAACTGTGCCTAAAATTGCACACGTATACAGGAGCCTTCTACCACTGCACTGACCACAGTATGTCTATGTCTATGTCTGTGTCTGTGTCTGGGGTGTTACTCATGCAGCTGGTAAAAACCCAAGCAGCAGTTTTTGCTGTGGTTTCTGAAGAATTCCATGTGAAGCAGTTTGTATAATGGAAGGGCACACATGGGTTGGAAATGGGTTCCATCAAGGGATGAGTGTTCAGTCTTGTGGTTAAGCCATAAATATGGACAAGGAGGACCCACTCTGTATGAAAATCACAGGTTTCCTATTTGTGCACGTGGAACTACAGAAGGATTCAAGGATGTGCTGTGCATATTTTGCCAGAGGGATGCTTACAATCCCTAACCACGGCTGGGTTGACTTTCCCACAGGCAAACTCACAAGTATCTGGTGGTTGGAAAGCGACTGAGAAGGAAGGAGGCTGGAGAAGAATTTCTTAGTTTTTCCCTACTTCCCGGTAGCAAGAAGAAAGTCATTTCCCCACAGAGTCAGACCTCGCCTTGCCCAGCATGGGTCCAAATTGCAAATAATGTTTGCAAGGATACAGCACAGCCATTCGCCACCACCTTGTGTGCTCATTAATCTTGTTTTTCTCTGATTTCCCCCCCTCCCTTGTCTCTGATGTGCTGCACTGGTGTAGACAGTGACTAGGGAATTGAAATTAAGTTTCCGAATCTCAGCCCCAAATGCCACAATCCTCCCTTCCCTCCCTGTGCGCTGGGAAGAAGTTTGCAAATCTTCGGAGCTGGCTGCCGAGCTGCTGCATGGCTTTCTGCTCTGCTTTTTTTTTTTTTTTTTTTTTTGAGGTCCCGCCATCTGAATTTTGCTTTCAAGCCCACCACTGAGCACCCGTTAGCCTGGCACAGTGCCCAGTGTCCAGAGGCCACAAAGAGAAAGTCAGTGGTAACAGCAGCATGGATGAAGCCTTCTCCCACTGCCCAAGGGCTCCTCTCATCCTGCCTCCCGCTTCGTGGCACCAAATCAAACTGCGGTAGACTTGACAAATCTATTTGGCATGGTTCACTCAACTATTTCAACCCCAGCAGCCTGGAGAACTATGCAGACACACCAAGAACAGTGTGGAGCCTGCACATTAAACACAGATATCTGGGGGAGATCTGCTAATGAATGGGCGGCTAGGAGCACCCTCGCGGGGGAGGATGGGCCAGGCCGCTGGCTGCCCGCGCATGCGCAGTGGGTAAGGGAGTCGAGGAGCGGGGTGATGCCTACCTATTAAGTAGCTGGAGGATGCATTTCTAATGGGGGCTTTGCCTCTGCCTTGCCTCCTTTCTTTGGGGAAGACTAATACACTAAAACCAAAAGGACTACAAGTTACCCAGTTGGTTACTTGGGAAAAGAAATGGAACCAAGAGTGGGAGGAGGAGCAAAGAGAGGGGATGTTTTCAGCAGGAAGAGTGGACAAGGACGACGCTGAATACCAGAGCTAAATTCAGTCCCAGGAACATCTTCCCTGCAGAAGGGATCCAGGGATAAAGCCAGAGAGGACGGCTTTTGCCTAAATGTGCAGTGCTAAGGTATTTCCAAAAGCAGATTTCCTACAAATGGTGTTTTAAATAGCATCCCAGTCCATCTGTGTGCTTTTAAAATCGGCTTATGCTACAGTATCCCTCCGGCCAGGGCTGCTTAGTCATCGAGCCTGGATAGGGAGACGTCAGGTGAGCTTCATGCCTCTCCCCAGGGCCGCTCCGGCTCAGTGGCTGGCACAGGCCCCTTGCTGAGCTTCTGGGTCCTGCTGGTTTCTTATCAGAAAGCTGGGAGTGAAGGTACGAGCAGGGTGGAACGAGGACACTCAGTCCTGGACCCCCCTCCCCATTCTGCCTGCCATTCCCCACCGATGCCTGGCAAACCCTCCTGAAACTGGGACCATGGGAAACCAGACCGGGCCACATGGCAAGGTCGGGGTGTCACTGCTAAGTTCCTACCTCACTTTTCCTATAGAAAATGGGGAGAGAGAGAGAGAGAGAGAGAGAGAGAGAGAGAGCGAGAGAGAGGTGGGGGAGACCTGGTAATTGCTAGAAACCACAATTTTCACATGAATGTTGCCATGTTACTATGGCGATTTTAATTTTTAAGAAAACCCACTCCTTTAAAAACGCACATTTCCTGAGGAAGACTGCCAACATTAAAGTTCAGGATTTTCTGGGTCTAAGGCTTCCAGCTGTACCAGTAGTCGTAGAGCAATCTGCCTTGGGACAGTGACAGAAGCTGAGCAGATTCCCTTCTGTGAACTCTCTTTGACCACATGCGCCTTAGTCTGTTAATTCAGAACTGGGCAGCCAAGGCCTGGTGGAACCGTAGCACTAAGAGGAAGAGACCCTTCTGCTCACCTGCAGTGCCCTTCCCAGGAAGGATGAGCAGCCCCTGGGAAGCCCCCGGACACCACACACCTTCCTAAGCCAAGACTCGGCCACAGTCTACAGGGGCCACCACAGCCCCCAGCCCCACCTAGGTGATGACACACTAGTTGCTTCCCACAAGGCTTCTTTATGCCTGGTGCCTGGTGCACCAGCACACAGGATGAGCTGAGTACCAGTCACTTGTCAATGTATCTATCCACAGACCAGGAGCTGCAGACGCCAAGGGCAAGCAGCCGAGAACTCAACACCTCGCTGCTAGGCATGATTGCTGGTGATTACTGGTTCAGATCCCAGCACTGACGAACTGAAGATTGCCTCATTATTTACTGTGCTCTTTTTTTTCTCTGAGACATTGTGATTCCCTCTCAGGATTTGTGCCCTTTCATTTCCAGACCTCAGTAACTCCTGAACTGCAGCTTCATGTGGTTTTCTGATTGTTAACCCAGCATGGGGAAAGGACTCAGGCCATAAATGCTCAATGAGTCCTGTGTGGGAAGAAGACATGAACAGGGAACACATTTTCCCCTTCACTGATAGTCTGAGAGCTCTCTGCAAGGTCTCTCTTTCTCCCCCCCCACCCCACCCCTCTGCTATGTAACAGCAGTCAGACTGTAAGTGAAATGGTGTTTTCCAATTGCTCCAGCATAACAGAGAAGATTTTCAGGGTCAGCATGTCCCTGGCCTCCTTCGACTATTTGAGCCTCAGTAAACAAGGCCTTCTCCCTTTCCTGTGTGGGACCAACTTGAATCTCCCACTGTCTCACCCCTCTGCCCCTTTCCGGCTTGCCTCGGAGGGTTGAGAATGCTTTACCTTGTGGTTCTTGCCATGGCGGTACACCATCCAGTCTTCACCATTAGTGCTGACCTCTAGCTTGTAAGACTTGACGTAGTAGCCATTCTGAGTTTCCCTGGAAATTGCACCCTGAGTTGCAATGGCCGTGAGCATCGTAAGAAAGTGTAGGTCCACCTGAGAAGAGAGGAGGGGGAAGAGTAAGGGGACTATACTCTCAACAGGGGGCAGCATCTGGCACTTTTCTACAAAGGACACCATTGTCACACTTCGATCACAATCTGGTCTGTGATTCATGAGATGTACTGGTAATTAGTATCGGTCTGCAATTCCACTGCACAATTAAACTCAACTCACTCAACATTAAATTGCACACTTTGAAAATCTAACTTCATTATTTTCCTTTCTTTTTCCTGTTTTACAAATCTGAATGGCCCGTATTCAGTTTCTCCCAACCCTGAGCATCTTGAATTTGATCCTTCCTTATTAAACTATGGCCTGTCTTGGGCTGAGAAGGCAGATGCTGTTCTAAAGCAGCAATGAATAGCTAAATCCACTCTGCTCCAATCCAGTCTAATTCAATCCAATTCACTTGTGATGCCCTGGTGCAAAAGTCACAGCTCATCGCTGCCTCCCATTCCCATGCTCCCTCATGCCATTGTGTCTTTAGTTGCTCAGGTCACCAAAGGGTCAAAGGGCGAGTGGAGTCTGCCCAAGCAATTAGGCTTATGCACCAAGTCCTGACCTTTTGGACTCCAGGGAGGATGACCAAAATTTTGAGGCACCTCCTTTTTCACCGTGCAAACCCATTCAGAAATTGCTGGATGTTTTTTCTTCGCTGGCAGTCTCCATGTGGCCCAACTTTGGCCTTGTGTATGGGGGAAACTCAGTGTGGCAGGCTTGCAGTGTGGCTTGCACTCACACAGCACCACGAGACGTTCAAAGGTGATGTGCAGTGCCCTCTACATGACTGAGAAACAGGTGGGTGGCAATAGGAAGAGCATGTGATTAAGGGCCAAAATTAAAGAGTGTAATTAATGGGCTGTCAATGACAAGGGAGAACTTTCTGGAAGCTTCAAGAGATGAAAGAATTTCTGGAGAGGCAGAGAGGAGAGACAGTGACAGATGGCCTTAGGGGTGTGTTGTTGGGGATTCCCCGGCTCCTGGAGTTCCTGAGTGATCTTTCTCCCTGTCCAACACTCTGCTTCTTAAAGCAGAGGTCACCATGTCACAGCAGAGCTGTGACTGGCTTGTTGGGGGTTTGCATGGCTGTCTGTGTGTCAGGAAAGCAGATATTGCTCTGGTCTGGGGACCAGTAGTTTGTTTTTCCCAGGGGATGAGAAGTGGTCCCGTCTACAGCATGGGAAGATTACTCAACAGGAGCTGCAAGACTTGTTCAGAGGGAAAGCAAACAATAGTCTGAAGAGACGCAGCAGAGCATCTGGGCAACTGCAGTTTCCCTCCCCATGGTGACATTTTCCCATGTGTTCTCCTGATAGCTGTGTGCAAAACCTTCCTGGCAAGGCTCCCTCCAGAAAGCGAAGACCAGGAGAAGCTGCCATGTTCAGCTGCCACCACAAGCCTACCCTCAGGAAAACGCTCCCCCAGGTCTCTGCCGCCCCTCCTGCACTGAGAAGGAGGGGGATCAGCCACCATATAGGAATATTCCTTGGATGCTGATAGGGCAAACAGTATCCTGACACAGGCCCGTTCATTCATCAGCATGACAGCCCATGCCCTGCTCCTTGGTTTACCCTGGCACACAGCACACTGCCCAGCACAGTCTTTTCGTGCCTGGTACACATACTTGTGAGGATGATGAATGATTGAATAGCGTTCTCAAGTGTGCCGTGTTTGTTCTCCTTGTGTGCTTTGTGTGTTCTAGTCAAGGGGCACTCTGCTGGCCCATCAGCACACATGCTCTGCATACCCTCAGCTGTCTGAGGAAGTACCTGGAGATACTCCTTGTTGGAATCCAAGTTGGGGGTCCAGCCATTGTCTTCACCGTGGAGCCGGCTTTGCTGAGGGGTCCACCTCCCATCGGAGTAGGTGGAGGAGGCGCTGATCTGCTCATTGGCAATCCGGCCAGACTCCATTCCCAGGGGGACATTGCACTGAAAGTCTGGGGAGTAGGGAAGGTCAAAGGCAGAGTTAGGGGGTTTGGCCTCAGCCCCGCCCTGCTCTGCTTCCTTCTGGGGACAAGTCCTTGCAGGCACTGCTTTATCTAAAAGACTAATTATTGGCTCACAGTTTAAAAGCAACCTCAGTGACTCAGAGCTTGACAACCCCTCTGGGTCTGAAAGAAACTAAATTGGCCCTAAAAGAAATTAGATGATGGATAAATAAGAATCGTCATACAAATTAAAAATACAATCTAAAACACAGGAACTGGTATCCCTGCAGGCTACGGATGCTCTCATAGACCAGCTGTGCGGTGGCTGCTCCATAGGTAGATGTCTGATAGACCTGTGGCAATCTGGGTGGGCTGCTCAGCCGTGGTGAGATGGTGTTTTACCCATAAACACCCCAAGGCACCTTTCATCTTCCTTTCACCCAACTGTCTCATGAGTTCTGGCACATGACACAGACATTACAAAGCATAAACACTTGACTCCAGGAGACCTCTCGGAAGCATACCCATGTCACTCTCTGTCCCCGGGACCCCCTGCCTGAGCAAATAGACCCAGCAGTGGCTCACTCTGGCCTTAGTGCCAGCTGCTAACCTGCTGTACTTCCCTGGATGCTGCACAGACTGGTCCGTATTTATGTATGCATGGTCTCATACAGACCAGCAGCTTTTCCCCCAGCATCAGATTGGCTCTTTGACTCTGGGGCTAGCCATTTGCAGAGTCTGCTACAAATCTGTCGTACTAATTTTTGATTTTGTTTTAAAATCACACAACTTCCATGAAAACGCAAAAGCTAAACCCAGGGCAGAACTGAGAGTGTTTACTGCAGGTCTGGCTGTGGTATCTATAGTTAAAATCTGCAGTGAGCTGTCCACAGCTGTGGTAGGATTTCCTCAGCTCTCAAGATCCCTAAAGTGCTTCTTTTTTCCTTAAAGGGGTCCCTGGGCTTCTGAACAGAAATGGCAGCACAGGGCCAGGAGCAGCAGATCTGAAGACACAGCTCAGGGCCAGAGGTTCAAGACTTACACTGCAAGCTCCGTGGTGGCGGGGGCCCAGAGCACGTTTTTAATAATGCTTCACACAATGCCTGGTCTTTAGTAGAAGCTCCCAAAGTTCAAGTAGTTGTACCGACTGGTCAAGGCAAGTCAACCCAAAGCCAGAGACATTTAACATCAAAATATGGGGGGTTGGGGGGAGGGGAGGCTTTAAAATGGCTCAGATTTGTGACATTGGCCTCTGAGGCCCGGAGAGGGAGAAAAACAGTCCCAGATTCAAACATCTTAGATCCTAACTATTCCCTTTCACATTCACAGCTGAGGGAACTGAGACTTGGATGGCTGTGAGGCTTTGCTGGGAATAACTCATTCTTGGAATATGTGTATACATACTCTGCCTGTTAAGAGGCTGTGGCTCTCATTCCTTGAGCTCAGATGCCACAGCTACCTCTCGGGGGCTCCATTTGCATCTCCCTAGAGGTCCACTGTTACACCCACGTGGCTCTAATGCCCCCATCTGCTGACTCACTCTCCAGGGGTTCTTGGTGCACCAGGTAGTAACGTGCAGAGAAGCCATCCTTAGCCACTGCCATGTCCGTGTGAAAGGTCAGAGACAGGATCCCGGTCGATGAGCGGAGTTCAGAGGGGGTCTTAGTCCCACAGTACTTGCCAATCAGGGGGCCAACTGGACAGGCAAGACAAAGAGGAAACAGAAACTTGATTTTCAATGCAGTCTCCCCTCCCATCAATGTGCCATCCCATCTCTTTGCACGCATGGACATAACAACCAAAGATGTGCTTTAGGAACAATGCCTAGTGGTTTTCCTGCACATTAAAAAGTACTTTGATGAGCTGGCTTCATTCTGTTCTCACAGCCCTGGGAGAAAGCTATCATTACAATACCCATCCTTCAGAAGAAGAAATTGAATTCCAGAGGGGTTATGATGTGATATTTCCTTGTTCGCACTGCTAGGAAATAGCAGAGTGGGACCCAAACCTTAGCTTCCTGATTAAATTGTATGCTTTTCCCAGGACACGAAATTGTTCTTGCTTAGTTAGCAAGTCTCCCTTCGACTGGAAAATCCTTAGAATAACTACAAAAACGAACAATTTGTTTCCTTTCCAATACTGGCTATACCCAAGAACCGGGATGGTCGTCACCTGTGATTTTCAGGCTTCTTGTGGCTTGGAGTGATACAACTTTTAGCACCTAATACTACGTTAATAAGAATGTTCTAGTAATAACGACGGTGACATGAGCCAGTGAACACAGCTGAGGCAAAGAGAGGTGGCTCGTAGCTTTCCAAGGCTGCACAAGACAGGAGCCCAGCCTGTCTGGCTTGAGAGTCCTTCTAGGGGATTTTACAGTTTGGCCATGGAGTCACTTTCTATCCTGACAACTTGGTGTGAAAAAAGATACCACCCAAAGGACTTTCCCATCTTCTCAGCCTAAAGAGAATATTTCCAAAAAACAAGACCACCTTTCTGTAATTTCTCTCAGGCCAATCCTTGGAGAAAAAAAGAGAAAGTCATTATGCTCCCATGAGGGCTTTCATTCTCCTTTCTTGTAATTACTAAAGCAGCTCACAGACAAAGGCCAAGCAACTAAGTGCTTCGTGACAGTGACGTCACTCACCATGTGGAATGCCATCCCAGATGTCCAGCCAATCATATTTGCAGTCCCCTTCTCCCACCTGCAGAGGGTCATGCTCCAGGTCAAAGGTCAGGAACTGCAGGATGATCTCCATCTTGGGTTTGGCCAGGATGGTAAAGGTACAGTCCAAGTTATGGGGGTACTTTTCAGGAAACCCCGGAGATTCGATGGTCCCATTGGGGCTGGTAAAGTTTTTAGAACAATCTTCAGAGCCTGTGTATCAAACAGAACTGCAATATTAGGAAGGAGAGGGTTTTCTTTGCTGCCCCTGTTGCATGGGTTATTTAAATGTTTAGATCCAAATCCCCCTACTCATGAAGTTTCTGTTTTACCCAAGGGTCCTTGCAGTAAAGTAAATACTCTCCTTAGCTACATTTCAAGGCCTCTGTTTAGGACAGAAGTTAGTGAGGTGGCTGCAGGCTTGCTCTTAGAGTAAGAGCAGCATTAGAAGAGCAGGGGAATAGGAGAGTAGAGAGGAGAGAGAAACGGGAGAGAGGAGAGAGAAGAGAGGAGAGAAAGAGAGAGAGAGGGGAGTGGTCTTGCAAAGAGGAACAGAGTCTTCTTTCTCAATTACTCAGCTGCTCTCTCCAGAAATGTAAATTATTTCAATCCTTAAGGAAGGCTTGCTGGTTGCCAGCAGGGAAACAATGTTACCCCTTATTTATTGCTGACCTCAACACTAGCCCCCATTGTACCACAGCCAGCCAAGTGGCCCTTCTCCCCTCAAGACCCAAGGTGCCTCAGGGGAGGGGCAAAGGGGAGCTCGGGTCTCATTCAAGTCATGACTGTATTAAAACGAGCAGCTCTGTAATCGCCAGACAATTAACAATCGACGTTTTTAGCCGGTGATCACAGTGGGGTGCCGAGGATGTTAAAGGCCGCTGCTCCGGCAGCAAGTTTGGAAAAATGTAGTAGCGCACTGACATTTGGAAGGCTTTGGGTTCCTCTGTGGTGGGGATGGCCTTGTTTCTCTCCTAAGCTCTGTGTCTACTTTCTAGGGACGCGTAGGGGCGTTCTGATTAAATTCGGCCACATTCGCAGCCTGGGGCAAGCTTGGACCACAGCAGGCTCTGCTGCAGGTTAGGAGGATTACAGGCGCGGTGTCTCCCGCTGCCTCTAGGGGGAGCGCTGCCGAAAGAGCCCTGGGCCACTCTGCCACCATTAGTCAGAGCAAGAACCCTGCAAAGTCCCTAGGCATAGAGACCCAGATGGGACCCATAGATATGCACAGAGCAAAAATGCATGCAGGTTAAGGTAGCTGATGTAAAAGCTGCACTTGGTACGTTCAGATGTTAAAATAAGAAAAAGGAGCAGGATTTATGAGGAGGGTAATAGACACTCTAAGCATGAAAAGAAAAAACCCACAGAAATTCTCAATAAACCAGGTGTTTACTGGCAGGAAGTATCCTTTGGGGTTCACGCTGAAATATAACTAGGTGATGTCAATACGCTGATCGTAGCCCGCAGCGATGTCTTTATCTGCAGTTCCAGGAGCAGCCCCTCTGCAAGTCTCTTTCCTGACGACGGCCTTTTGGAAAGCTGCAGATGTCTGACTTGGAAAAGGTGGCATGCAGCTAGGCAGGGAGGGGGCAGGCAGGACAGGAAATTCCAGCATCCCCCACCTATCCATCCATCACTTCCTCTGCTCTCCCACGCTGCACCTCGGCAGCGTGAGAACTGTGGTCCCAGGAGGTAGAAGCAAACCTTCATGGCTGCTTCTGAAGCTCTCGGTGCTGCATCCTGGAGGTGCTGTGCTTCATCACTAGGAGGATGGGCAGCGGCAGGGCAGGCCCAGAACCGTGAGCCTGCAGCCAGGCCCTCAGAGAGGAGAGGGCTGGCCTCCCCCAGGTTCTGTTTACCACTGGGCCTCAAAGTCCTGAGTACCTCCTCAGTGGCCTGGGATGATGCAGTTTGACAAAGCCAAGCCAGCTGGCAGGTCTTCAGGGGGCCAAGAGGAATTCTGAAAAGGTTAGAGTTTGTGGCTGCTAGGCAGCCTTCTCCACATGGGCTGCTCAGGGAGCCTCACATGGGCCTGGCGGAAATTAACTCTATTCACAATTGGCCTGAGAGCTAGCAGAGGCATCCATCCCCACATTCTCCCTTCAAGTTGGCCCTATTTTCACTCCCTCAGAAGGTGAGGGATCTTTACCTCTCCTCTGGGAGGGGGATTCAGGGCAGGCTTTTCCTTGGGTCTCTCTCATTGTTGGGGCCAGACCTCCACAGTGGGTGTCTGCTGAATCTGGGCCAGGTCTGGAGAATGTGAGACTCTCAACCACCCCCATTTGCCAGGGTCCTAGGTCCAGCATTTCTAGGAGGAATTTTTCAGCCATTGGTACAGAAGGGCAAATTGTTGTATTCTTCAGGAAAACTTTTTCCAATTTTATCATTTTTATGCAGAAAAATCAAACTTGTCTATTAAGATCCTATATTTGTCTTTAACAGTAAAAACATCAGAAAGGCAGCTGAATGTCTAATATGGAGAAGAGAGCCTAGGAAAAGACAAAAATCGAGTCTCCCAGAAATCTGTGTACTTAAGGATAAAGTTTAAAAAAGTAACTCAGTCAACAAATATTCAGGTCTATTCAATGGTCTCCACAGAAGCTGGGGAATCTGGGTTGCAATTTCTGATTTCATAGTCAAGAACTCTGACATGGAACAATGACCACCGTGTGTTTTCGTGCTCTAAACTATACAGTAACTTTGCAAGCAGAAGAAGCGTCCACACATGTACAGATATGACAAGGTGATGGACTTATCCAAAGCTGGTTTGGCTGGACTATAGGTGAGCTCAGGTCCTAGATTAGAGTGAGCACAGGGCGTGCTTCAAGCTTCCTCCATCTGTGAAGGATCCTACAAATTGCAGTTTTAGAAATGGTACTGGACACCAGGAAAACAACAACAGACTGATCTGGATTCTATTCAGAGAAACATCAGAAAAAAGAACCCCAAGCACGTTTCCAAGGTTACATAAGAATTCCTTGCTCTACTCTGCTGGGAAGGGGTGTCTTGAGGTCTTTGAGTTTGTGCGTTGCTTGGGGTTAGTGGTGATGGGGGCGGGTGGTAGGGGAATGCACAGGATCTTTTCTGCTTCACGCAGGCAGATGTGAGCCCTCCAGTCTGGCCACACGTCCCCTCTCCTCTCTGCATTGTGGTTTCATCACCCAGTGCAACTCTGCGGCTCAGCCTTGCCAGAGAAAGGCTGCCACGGCTCTGTGTGCACGGCTTGTGTGTCTGTGTTTACAGTTTCCCCGTCTTTCTTTTCATGAATCCGATTAGCAAACATAGCTGTGTTTGTTTGGGTTTCTTCAGCGAGGCCACCCATCCCTTTCATGTGGATGACGTAAACTTGGTATATTTTCTCTCAGGACTGCAACCATGGAAACACAGGTACATGAAAGAAGAGGAACTGGGAAGAAAACCCATCTTCCTAAACGTCTGAGTTTTGGGTTTTGCATCCTTGTGCATGTATGAGTTGTGTATGAGAGAGAGGGAGGGAGGGAGGGGGAGAGAGAGGGAGAGAAAGAGAGAGAGAGAGAGAGAGAGAAAGTATAATAAAGCTTATATGTCAAAAGTATTAGATGTACAATTCAAGCACACGAAGTACATGTATAGTGTTGTACAACTGTTACCATCTCCTCCATCTCAAAATAAACAGGGCTGGGGTGTGGCTCCGTAGCAGAGCGACCTTAGGTCCCATTGTGGATATAGGAGTTTTATACACAGTTGGCTTTCCACGCTGAGAGCTGCCCTTCCCAATGGCACAGTGGCAGGGGTGAGTGTCCCTGAGACAGCTCCCGGGCTCTTGTCTTCTTCCACTCATGTTCTCAGAAGTGCAGCTGCTGGCAGGGCTGTTCCTGCAGCGGTCTCTTCTAAAGACGACCTCAGTTCCCACCGCAGGCTGCCCCACGCTCCCTGCCAAACCACCTCTACCTTCCTTGGCTGGCACCGTCATTTCTCGGCAGTTCACAGACTTGTTGCTTCATTCAGAATTCTACTTCAGTGTGTCATCCAAACACCAGTGCTGAATTATGATATCCTTTTGCGTGTTTTATCTTTTAATATCCTCCTTTCAAGTGTGCATGATGGATAGAGTTACTATTCCCTTATTCGGTGGTGTTCTGCAGAACGTGGCACCTTGCCTTGGGAAACGCTAACTCGGGAGGCACAGAGGCTGGAGGTGAGGTGAGGTGAGGTGAGCCTTCACGGCTGCTCCCTCTGGTTTTGACTACCCTTGGCCAGCTCCCTGGAAGATCTTCCCTGGGTTATTTCCCTTTCATGGTCAGGACAGTGGAGGCAAGTGACAAACTTGGCACTGGGGACCTAGCGAAGTGATAGACTCCAGAGTTCCTTGATTGCTCCTATTTTTGTAACCATCACATGTGAATCATGCCTTCAAGTAGTACTTATTCATTTTTCCTCTCAATTTCTATCTATGTTGATCAAGGAACGTGGACTGTGTGCGTGATGTGGACAGAGAGTTTGCACACTTGCCTTCCTCTCTATAAGAGGGCAAACATGGCTCTATTCCTTCTCTCCCCGCTCTCCACTGCTTCTTCTAGGTGATGTCCCTGCAGTCACTGATCTAGGTCTTGCGTAGGTCTCCAGGTGTGTGGATCCAGATAGTTAGGACCCATCCCAGCCCCAGGCTTCACACACACATCTTCAGTACCCTCTGACTTCACTGTGGCCCAAAGCATGGAAATTCACGGCGGCTGGACCATCTTGGGACCTGTGCCCCGTGACAGCATGGGTTCCCGCACTGGCACGACACAGTTCCGAGGATCCCTCCCCTTCACTTCATTCCATCCGCTCAGGCCAATCCAACAAATATTTGGACAGAGTGGATATAAAAAGTGCTTTCAGCAGCTACTATTTCCTTTCAAGAACTGCTTAATGAAAACGGAAATATAGATGAATAGCTCCCCTCACACTGAACTCAAGGGGCGCCGGCCTCGGGGCCTCTCGATGACAGAGCTGACAGCTTCCCTGTGAACCAGACTCCACCCTGTGAGTCGTAAAACTCAGGCTGCTGCAGAGGGGAAGCCCGGGGAGATGGAGCCAGGGCCTCTGTGGTGGGGAGCAGGCAAGGTGAGAAGAGCTGGAGGCCGTGCCTGCTGTGGGCAACCTTGGAACACTGAGCACCACCGCCAGAGAGAAGCACGAGCTGCTCAGGAGCGTGGTGTGAATGCAAGTTTGCCGTCTTTAGTCGTGGAGACGCATACTGGTCCCCAGGCTCGGGCCTGGAGGAATCTGAGGAGGACGTGCTGGAACTAAGTGGTCAGCTCCTCTGCCAACTTGTCGACTGCATCTCTGGTTCAGAGAACCAAGAGTCCACTGGGCAGAGGAGGTGGGATGGATGGCCAAGGGGAATTTCTAGGAGCCACATTTTAATTGCAAAGCTGCAGGGTGTCCCCGTGTAGGGGACAGTGGTGGGATCTTTAGGGCCTCTATACAGTGACAAAGTTACATCCTCTAGCCCTCTGTGACCCCAAAGAAAATCAACTTTAAACTGTGAAGTTATAGGAAGTTCGACCACATTTTGCTTTTTCCCAAGAAGGATAGTTAGAGTTTTTTTAAAAAAGTACAAAAAATCAGATCCTTTCCCCAAAAGTTCAGATTCCATTTCTTCTGGAGCCCCCTACTCTCTGTTTCCTAGTCTGCTCCCTCATGTTTGCACTATGGCCTGAGGCAGCTCTTGGTCCTGGCCAACTCAGGAGGACCTGGAGCCTCCTTCCTGAGGCCACCAGTCAAGAGGAGGAAGCCCCAGCCCTCTCCACCTGTCACGCCCCTCACGTGGCCACAAGGCCACACAGACCTGTCTTGAAGATCTCGTAGCGCAGGGAGAAGCCCGCCCCCTGTCGGGCGTAGTCGGACGTGAACTTGATGTAGAGCACGGACCCCGAGGAGATGATGGTGGGCGGCGCGATGTTCCCGCAGTGCTTGCCCAGGAGGTCGGCGGACTCGCTGTCCCCATCCCGGATCTCGATGAAGTCATACCTGGATGGGGGTGCAAAAAAGAGCACAGGGAGCAAAGGTCAGCCTGAGCGGAGGAAACAGAAGGACACCTCCTTCTGCATCCCCCATTCCCTTGGATTGGGTCAGGTGTTTCAGCAAAGTCCGCCTCAGGCCACCTGGCTGCTGGCCGTGTCAGAGGCCACAGCCGCAGGAGGTGGCACTGTTAGGTTTAAGTCTCACTGAGTGGCGGGGGGGAGCCTGAATCGCTTGCTTACATTAGAACAGCAGCATTGCTCAAAGATGGTACAACAAACACAGTTTTCCCCTTTCCAGAATATCTCTCTGAGTCTTGGCTTCCCCTCCTCTCTGCATCATGGCAGGTCACCCCTGACCAATGTCCTCATCTGTAGGATGAGAAAAAAATATCCACGCCAGAAGTCTGGGATGGAGATATGATAAAAACTATATGCGGCAGATGTCCCAGAGATATTTACTTTCCTTCCTCCCCATTTGGGCTTTCTCCTGGGCCATTCTGTCTCCTCCTTTATCTTCCATGGAGAGCGACAAAGACTCCCCACACCAGCAGGCCGCTTGGCTCCCTGAGATGACTCTGCAAAGTTTACCTCGGCAGCAGCCAGGCAACAACGCGTTTGGAAAAGGAATCAGCAGTGTAATAGATAAGGAAATAAAAACCATTCTCCAAAGGCAGGGCTGGCTCCCTGGGGGCCCCTGGAGATGCAAACATGACTACCCGCCCCTACCAGGGTGGGTGGGCTGCCCTTCCGAAGCCAAGGCCTGCACTGCTTTCCAATGGGGCAGGCCTGGGAGGTCCTGGCCAGGTTCACCAGCTGCTACTCATGGAGCTCTCTTTATCCTGACAGATAACACATTTCCCAGGGTTCTTGGGGTGTGAGGCGTCTTCCCCACCAGCTCCCTTTGAATTGCTGGCGGCTGTACTGTTATTTGCTAAGACCATCCATCTCCCTCGGCTTCCCTCCCTCTGGGTTGATTCTGCATCAACCTGTTAAAAACACACTTAAGAAATCTCTTCGTCTGGGTGGAGAGGGGCTGAGACCGTGCCCTTTGGGGTGCATCCACCTGCGGCTCATGGGTCTGAGGGAGCTGGCTGTCTGCAGAAGTGGCCGATGTGAGCTGGAGAAGCCCGAGGCCTCACTGCAGCCCCGTGGGAGCCGTATTTCAGATTTCCCAGCCACTTCCAATAAATAGGCGAGTGAAGGAAGCGAAAGGAGCGGACCAGGAATTGTTCCTTCTTGGACCCGGGGGCTGGGCTCCTGTAGCTCCAAGAAGGGCTGAAGCTGATTCTAGTCTGGGGAAGTCCAGTGGGGTCCCGGGATTTTGGAGCAGGTGGAGAAGGCCTAGGTGGGGGAAATCTATCCAGGTCTGGGCTCTTGGGGGCTTCCTTGTTTCCAAAGCAAAAGCGAAAAGATGCTGAGTTTGCTCTCAGGAGAGACTCCTCAGACCTTCTGGAAAAGCCCTCCGTTATTCTCGCCCCAGTAGCCCCTAACCAGGCACCCCCAGCTCACCAGGAGGCTGTGGTGTGCAGGGCTCTGGGCACAAGAGTTCTGTACTGAAAGCAGATAGAGCTGGGTTTGGATCCAGCTTGACCACATTTTAGCTGAGTTCTGTCAGTGGAGTCACTAAACCTTTCTGAGTTACAGAAATGGGGAGAAGAGTGAAATAGGGATATTAGGATTTTTCTCCTCGGGGGCTGGGGATTTAGCTCAGTGGCATAAGCACCTGCCTTGTAAGCAGGCAGTCATGAGTTCGATCCCTGGTACCGATAAAAATGAAAAAGACAAAAAAAAAGAAAAAGGATTTTTCTCCTCGGGTTGTTCTGAGATTTAAGAGACTGCCTCTAGTCTGTGTAGTGTTGCTATTTTGGCGTAAGAAATTTAGCTGTGGTTTGTTGTATTTTCACACCCATTACAGAGGCTGAGCTGTTGGGCAGAAGTGACTTACCCCACAAGAGAGAGCAAATAAGCAGGGATATAAATCTGTTCAAACATTTTGGAAGGCATTTCGGTGAAATGTGATAGAAGTTAATATGTACATAGCCTCTAATCCAATAGTTCTTCTGCTGGAAAGTTTTCCTAGGAAAATAATCAGGCAATTGTGCCAAGATGTATTTGCATCTTCATGCATACATTTAAAAAAAAAAAAAACCATGTGAAAGATGAGGAGAGGCTTTGTTTATAAATAGCTTGATGTCAAAAAGCTCAACCCTAGGGGAGAGTGAATCTGTTTTGGTAAACTGCATGAAACGAAACATTTTGCTGTGATAGTCAGGGGTGCTACAGATCTAGAATTTGTGTTTTTATGGGAAAGGTGTCCATGATGCGCTGTTAACTTAAAAAGGTAGGTTTTTTAAGAAGTGCATTTTATAACATACACATTTATTTCCTGTCTGAAAGACTATATGCTGGAATATTAACAGTGGTGAGACACACGGACGGATGGTGGGGTAATTGCTAAGTTATACTTTCTGTGTTTTCCTCTATTATTTGAATTGCTTACAAAAAGCCTACATTTTTTTTTTTTTTTACAAAGCCAGAAGTATCTATGGTAAAGCTACTTTTCAGAAGTTCCTTTTTTCAAAGGAGAGTTGCCAAAACAAGTTAGCTAAGGCTCATCATATGAGCACGTAGATCACCATCATCACTTACGTTACACACCTGACGTGAGGATCAAAGAAAATGGGACATGTTAGGATACCCAGAAGAGTGTTGAGGACATGGCCACTCTCAATAAATAGTTTTTTTTTTTTATACTGTAACTAGTCTTTGTGTTGACAATTTTTTTAGGAAGGACAAAGAGATGCCCTGCCTCATCTGGCTTGTTCCTCAGACATGGTTGACTAATCACCCATCCAGTCATTTGGGGATTAACAAAACCAGCCAAGAAGCAGGGTTCCCACAAATGCCACTGCTGCAAGCTTGCCTCAGTTTACTCCAAGGTGTATTGTATCCCCCAATCCATGCTTCCAAAGTAGCCCCCAACAAATATATCCTCACAAATCTACAAACGTGTGTAGTGAGGAGATGTCCTTTTGAAAAAAGGTTCCTTTAATTCAACCCTATTATAAACTTTCTGAGCTTGTTAGTTAAAGGACCCTTCTGGTGAAGTCTTTTGTGAAGCAAATAATCAGCCCTTCCTTGAACTTCTTAGAAAAATGGATTTTCCTATCAGGTTTGTTTGCAGGGAAAGCGATTCTGGGAGTCACAATGGTGCTTTGGTGGCTGAATTCCCCTCTCCCTCCAGGGTCCTGCTTCTGCCCTGTGGACAGCCCCACTTAACCACATGGCCTTCTGGCTGGGCTTTTTACACAAAGGGCACACTCCAAATGACATGCTGACCTCATGCAGAATGTCTCATTTACCTCCTGTGTGACTGACTCATTTGGGGAAATTTTTTATTATTACGGATTTGCCACAGCTGGGGTAAATCTCCTTAGAAATTTCAGTGTTGTCAGGATCATTTGTGAAGAGGCTTAGGAAGTTTGTGGCACTGGAATAAATATGGCTTTGCAACCAGCACTGAATCCTTGGTGTTTGGTGAAGGAATCTGGGGTACAGACTCAGTGCTCACCCCGGGGATGGCCACATAGGAAAACCTGAAAAGGTGCTCATCCGCTAACATGGTACTCATTTTCCTGACGGCAACATAAACAAGCGAATGAACATATTAACTACTGTGTTTGCATTTCATTATTCGTAATCTCTCTCAAATGAAAAGTGCCTTTTGAAGCTTTAACACCCCCTCTTATTATTTTGTTTATTTTTTCCTGGGCTGGAGGAGCCATCCCTACGCTCGGTTCTTCTTTTCTTTCTATAATGATTTCCTGAGTATCTTTTTACTCTCACCGCAGAGACTCTGCAGCAGCCTGTGCAGCATTTGTCTAGAGAATGTTTCCTCTTTCTTTCTCAACCTCAAAAAGCTTCATTTCTTCTCCCCCAAACCCACATCTAGGGTGTGGGGATCTTGATGGTGGAATTCATTTGAAGAGTACACAGGATCCACAAGCAATAATTCCATCTCTTGCACACTCGTCACTGGGCAAAACAGGAAAGGAGGCTTCCTGACTCTGTCCGTGCCTGAGGCTCCCCCACAGGGTGGCCTGCTGTGCTGGAAGACCCACCATGCTAAGCCCTTCCTTCCGTGCAGCACGACACCTCGCCCACCGTTATGGGTGGGCGCAAACCGAGTGTGATGGGACTTTGACATCAGGGTACTCGGGTCCTCTGAGCCAGAATGCAGTGCCCGTTCTTCGGGATTTGGGTCTACACATGGCAGTGCTGGTGCCCAAGACCAGAACCTCTGCCAGCCATGAGTCCTTTCATGCTCTCGTCTCCTAGGAGGGTGATGGCATTTTGCAGACAACAAGCTCTTTCCTGCTCCTGGCCTTGGTCCTCCTTGTGCCCTCTGCCTGCAATACTCTTTGCTACCTTGGGGGCTGTTTTTCATCCTTCCGTCCTCCCCATTTCAGATGGTACACCCCATCCTTCTGCCCTGACCACCCCATTTCAGATGGTACACCTCTCTTCTTCATCTCGCTATATTCTTGTTTCTTTTACAGCTATTATAATCTAGAAAGGTCTCGCAAGCATACCATGCAGTGTTTATGACCTGTCTCCTGCACTTAGCAGTCAGCACCACAGGGGTAGTGACCGCGTTTCGCTGCTGGATTTACAATACGTGTGGGAACCCTGCTCTGAGGGGGGCTCACTGCTAGTTGAGTTAGTCACGAATAAGGGCCCTGTGGTGGGCGCGGCAGGCCGGGCACACACTTGCCATTGCCACACTTTCCCCAGGAGCCCAACGTGCTGCTCCGCGCCAGCGCTTCTGCCTTTGGTCCTGACACACTCCTGAGCTATTCTGGTCGCATCTGAAAACCAAAATGTTGCCTCCTGACACAAAAACATGAAATCTAACATTTTGCTGGGAAGAAACATCTCAAATCATGCTGACAGCGTTTTCACTATTAGCGGCAAACACATCAACTATAATTAAAATGCTGTCAAAGT